TTTCTTTCTTTCTTTCTTTCTTTCTTTCTTTTCCTTCCTTCCTTCCTTCCTTCCTTCCTTCCTTCCTTCCTTCCTTCCTTCCTTTCTTTGACTCCCTTACAAGACAGTAACCTTATTAGGCCCTTAAAGTCTTTCTTCTGCCTATACATTTGGTGGACAATGCAAGAAATTTGAGCCAAGGTTTAGAAGCAACCTCAGCTGGGTCTCTCCCTGACAGACCCAGGTATCTTCGGGAGCCCGTGTGGCACAGCTGCCCAGTTTCTCTCTCCTCCTATTTTGCTAGTATGTAGATGTGCCCCAAGTCACATGTGCTCATAGGGCAGGACACCAGGGGCTGGCTGGACCTAGGGTGGGGCATGTGGTACTGGGATTAAGGGTGCGTGGCACAAAACTAGTCTACTGGTTGACTTAGCATAGATCTGGGTATGGATAATGGGAAGGCCAATCCTGAGGGTGGGTGGCACACCTGAAAAGCTGGTAGCCTAGATGGGATGAAATGGAAAGGGAGGCTCGCTGCTCGCTGCCTCCTCCCTGCTCTTCATGGACTTTTCTCCTTGGTAGCACCACTCTGCCATGCAGCACTGCTGGAAGCAGCTGGCTATGGACTGAAATCTCCAGACTGTGAGCTGAAGGAAACCTTTCCTCTTTTATCTTGGGGGTGTTTGGTATTTGGTCCCAGCAACAAGAAAAGTAACTAAGATACTTCCCCTCCCTTTACTTACTGATGGGATAAGGGAGTAATGCAGAAAGAGCTCCTTGTCCACTGAACTGGTGCAGGTGACATTTAGCAGCCTCGTGCTGAAAGAAATGGAAAAAAAAAATCACATTTATATAATCAGTCACAGCTGGGTGTAGCGGCGCATACCTGTGATCTCAGCACTTAGGAAGCTGAGACGGAACTATCACTGTGAGCTCAAGACCAGCCTGAACTACATAGCGAGACACTATCTCAAAAAACAAACAAACAAACAAACAAACAACAACAACAACAAAAAACAGCAACAACTATGTGTAATCAGTTACTGCTATGGTCATTGTCTCTTCAGTCTTGGATGTTACTGTTAGGAGAGTTGTCTTAAAGCCCACCAGGACAAAATGATCTTTTCAGCCTTGTTTTCTCTGCCAGGGCTGCTTACCTATTGCGTGTCTTCCTCAAATGGATTAATTATTTTTTTACATTTCTTTTTCCAGCTCTATTATTTACCCAGCTTCCTTGATAAATGGAACTAACTTCTTCATTTTTTTCTTTTTAAAATTAGTACATGTTTGTAGTACATGCAGTTTGTAATCATCTTGGGGAGAGAGTACACATGCATAATACAGCCTGGTTGTTTTTTAAAAATCCCTTTCCCTTTCCCTTTCACCTCCCTCCCTCCCTCCATCCTCTAAACCTACTTTTTCTATTTTTGTCCTTGTTGATATTGCTAATCTTATCTCATGTTTATGTCATACAATCTTTACATCAACTGTGGTTCTTAGGTTCCTGTACGTGGCATGTCTTCCTTATTCTATCCTCTCTCCTCTTCCTCATGTTTTGATGACATAGGTAGAAGCAGATTGAAGTTCTGTAGGCCCCAAAGCTTATGTAATTTAGCAGCTCCCTTTAAGTAAAACCACAAAAATATTAATTTTTTATAATTTAAGGAAACCATATGATGTATGGCTTAACGGGGGTACCTCTCACCCTTCCAGAGCTTTGGAAAGGTCTTGCGTGAGTGACGGGTTCTCACACTGAGGCCTCAGTAGCTTCACAGGAAACTGGTCTGTGGGCAAGCCTTTCCCTAGCCAGGGTCAGGATGTGCCAGCTGGGCTGCGGGTGGGGAGAGGCGATCACACTGCACCCTGCAGACCTTGTCCACTCCACTCCTGTCCTCTGTGGGACAGGGCTGGCAGGGCCTCATGTTTGAAACAGGTGGCAGTAGTTTTGTGGCTTCTGTTTGGAAGAGATCCTCTCCCTTCTGGGGCTTCTACACACTTTGTTCTCCCCATTCTGACCTCTACACCATCACCACAGCCCAGTCTACACACTTCCAGATCTTTGCACCTACTGTTCCTGACACCCCCGGCATCTGTGTGGCCAGCTGCTGGGATTCCTTCCCTGACCAATGACCACTACTCTCTCAGAAGTCTCAAGGAAGAGCATTCCTCTGAGCAGTCCAGGAGCATGACACACTTCCCTGTAATTCTTCAGAATGCCAGTGCCCCATGATTAAGTCCAAACCTTAAAAGACCTGGTACATCCAGTCAGTGACAGGTTAGAGACAGGTGAGACTCAAGTTGTTAGAACTGTAATAGGACTAAAAAGTCTGCTCTCAGGAAAGGAAACTAAACTCATGCTCAATATAACTCATGCCATATACAATGGTAGGAAAGAAGAAAGGAATAAAGGAAGGAAGACCACAGCCACATTTGCATACCAGAAGGGACTCTACCAGGGCCACAGAAACTAACAGACAATCCTGAGCAATGAGGAGCAACTGGAACTGGACCTGGGTCAAAGACAAAAAGCACCACTCAGCACAGCCACGGGTTTTTGGACCATGCAGGAAGTACTCTATGCCCATAGTACAGGAAGCAGAGAAGAATGGTGCCCAAATAGCACACACAGAAGGTGAGCCGGGGTCTTATAAACTCAGCAAGAACACAGGCTGTTTTTGCCCAAGTCCTATTTCCTTGCTTACTGTCCAGGGGCAGTGAGGGTTATGTCTTCAGGGAGTAGAATACATGGGGCACAGAGAGGCAGGAAGCACTGGTAGGCATCAGGAGACTGGGTAACCAGGGCCAGGTGCTGTGGAATCTCATATCACTTTTAAGCAAACATGGGGTCAGACTAACACTGCTTTTTAAAAATTTAATCAAGAGCCTTCCTTCCTTTCTTTCCATATCTTCCTCTTCTTTCCTCCCTCCTTTCCTTTTTCATACTATGTTTTTTTCTTTCTTCTCTCCCTGCCCCTATTCTTTTGTGCTGAGATTCTAGGCATGGGCAGCTACATCCCAGCTTCCCAGACCACTTCATTTGTCTTACTTTGTATTAGGGAGGGTCTCACTAACTCCAGCCTGGCCCCTCACCCTTCATAATAGCCCTAATGACAGACTTTCACAGCCAAGCCTGGCCCGCCCACCCTCTCTCCTTCTTTCCCTCAGTCCTTTAGCTTTGTTTTCTGTTTACTCTGCATGCCCAGCTTCCTGTGCCCTGCCTCCTGCTCCACCAAGGAGATTCCGCCTAGTGAACTCTGAACTATGTCCCCAGCCATTTGTTTTCCATCTATTTGTAAATCTAGGTCTGCACTCTTTTGCTCTTACTCATGCACCCAGCTTTACTGGAGATGGAGTCTGGGGGGCATGCTTCCCTGGGCTGCATTCCCCAGCCAGCTTTCTTCTTTTCTGCCCATCACTTTATCTTATCTCATCTCATCTCATCTCATCTCATCTCATCTCA